AAATCAAAAGAAAGTATCATAATTACAGTTTTAAATGAAGCGGAGGAAATTGGAAAATTGCATGCAATCGAGAGGTAATTACTTCGATATTAACATTATTCACGATTTTTAATGTCAATAACAAAAGATTGCATTAACAGTTTCTTGTTCTACATAATTTAATTAGCATTATAATTGTGTTCAAGGAATTGTAATGTCTGAAGCAACAATGAGTGATGTGATTGCTTTGAAAGAGATTTTTTGTAGAAATGAATTTACATTACGACGTCATTCCACAACTGCATAATGCAAACACTAGTGAATTAGGTCAGATTCTCAGGCTCCTGGAAATATTACGATGGAACTAATGAAGTATTCACTTTGTTGAAAATAACTGATTCTTTTTCAAGACAAGGAAGCTGCGAGTATGCAGTCAGTTTGTAAAGCTGATGGGCCATATTTCCCAAAGACAAATTATACAGGAATTACGTAGTTTGCGAATCGAATTATAGATTTTACTATTAACATAACCATCAGCAGTCAACGTTTACTATGAAATAAAAATTTTATTTAACATGAATACAAATTATTTCAGTATAATTATATATAACTTAAATATTAAAAGTTATTTGCTTTAATTCAGAAGATAATTAAAATTCTAGCAAATGTGTTCAAACATTTATTGAAAATATTCAATGAACAAAACTACTAATGTATATTACTTAATTAATAAGTTCATATATCAGTAATCACCAGATTGTCCAAAACTTTTTCATTTTGTTTAAATATAGAAAAATAAACAACCAATTTATGGACTTGGAAGAACTCTTTCAATTTGATACTCAGTCCGTTTTAATTTATCGATTGCAAACTGTGAAGAAGTAGTATCGAAGAAAAGTATTAAAATTCCATTATGCTCCAAAAATTCGGAAATATGTTTTTCTCCATCGGCTCAAAATTTCATTTGCATTTTAATGTCTGAGAACTGACTTTCGGATTTCAAATCTTTTTTTTATAAATAGCTTAGAACAGGATCTTATTTTTTGAAAGGAAGAATTACTTTTTTCCAAATTTATTCTTCTTTGCATTCAATCTTTTTTTTTTTTTTTTTTTTTTTCCTTTCTTTCTAAATAGAAGTAGAGTTATCAGCTAGCAATATAAGAAATAAGTACATTTTCTAAAATATTCTGCAGAGTTTCTTTAATTTTTAAAGCTACAAGTTAGGCCATCTGGAATTTCTAATATGCACATATATAAATGTGATATTTTAAGCGCGTAGTCATAATGACTGAATGGAAAGGCATACAGCCGACGATAATAAAACTGGACTTTGATGACTCACCAATCTTTATTTACACAAATACCAAATCATCTGAATAGGCATTTATCCAATCATAGTTCAATACGATAAATTTTATGTACACGGATTTTAAAAGTACGACGTAAGCGCTTTAGACAGGACAGCATAAGCGGCGTAGAGTTGTTTTCATGACAGATTCAGGAAAAGGAATGACGTAGTTGCTTGCGAAGATTATTTATACTAAGTATGAGGCAAAAGTACAGCTAATCTGTAATTGGTTAATTTTAGGTTGTTATGTAACATGGAAAGATCTCGAATTTGGGAGAACAGATGAATTTAATCGTTGGGGTACCCTATAATTTACCAACAGCTACTAGAGAAGAAATTGAAAAATATGTCTATCCTCCAGTAGCTGTGCGAGTTTTGATACATCCAGCTCTTCATATTTCTTAAATGAGAGATTATTCAAAATAAAATTTCTTTCTCTTCTTAGAACTCTAGGTAAAAATATATTTCTTTTATACTTTGCTTGGAATTTAAGGTGAAACTGATTATTTTCAATAGATTTCGCATTGTAAACAAATACAAAATTTTTACGAAAATTTGTATGAAAACTTAATATTTTATTAGATAAACAGTATGTGTTCTATTCTAAATTGTTCACTAGTACCATAATTAAATTATATATATATATAGAGAGAGAGAGAGTATATATATATATGCATATGTATATATGTAAGATAAAAAATAAATAAATCAAAATTATACTTTAAATTAACGGCAACCCTTTAATTCTCCCCCTCTATTTTAACCTATCTGGATTGCGTCATTTTTAGATCATTCTATCCTGCATGGCCAGCGCAAAGCTGATGATTTAACTCTGAGAACTGAAACATTTCTAACCGTAAACCAAAACCAATCTATCTCTTAACAAGCTGCTATATTACATAAATGCGCTGTTTGGATGCTATTTCATTTCGTTTGTGCTTTGTCGTATTGACTGCGCCATTATTAAAATTCTGATAACCTATAATAAAATTGTGGCCTGCGTGTTACGTCCATGATTATGTGGAATAAAAAATATGTTTTCGATATTTAGTTCGTGTCCAGGAATAAAGATCATGTTCAGTCGGTCTAGAAACTTCTCCTCGAATGTCATCTTTCTAATTATGCAGCAGTCTCTTCAAGTATTCATTACATATACATATGAGTTTAAAACAAAGGACCATTTTATAAATACACTATATATATAATTTAAGAAAGAGAACAAACTAAAAAAGACTTTTGTGATCAAGTATTATTTCGCATTGAGTTGCAAAAAGTAGAAAACAAGGTAAAAAGAATATTCTACATTTCCCGACGCGTCCGCTTGTTTAAAGTAAATGGTAAACACATTAATGGTGTAAGAAAGAAATTATACAAACTGGCCTGGTTAGGCAAATGTATAAAATAAAATTTAAAAAATAAACAGCGAATTGCTATTAGGCCAAAAAAAAACAAGACTTTTAGGGATGACCTATTAGCTTAGAGTTTACATTTAGTAAACGAAGTAAAAACTTAAAAATTGAAACTAAAAGCGAATTAATTTGGGTCTTGTTATGAGCAAAAATTAAAACAAGGGAAAGAAAAAAAATTTTAAACAAACCTCGCTCGGCGACAACAACTATTAAGAACTATGCAGTAAAAATGGACGTGTGCCTTCAGAAAAGATAAGAAAGAAGCTCACCAACGAGGTGTAATGACGTTAAAGGGGGGAAGAAACGTCATGAAGCAACAGCCGATTAAAAGTAACTGATCGTTGGCACAACCTGTCTCAGAGTGAGTGGGGTGGTTAACTGTTGAAGAAGGAAGAAATTGTTCAAGATGGCGTCTTGTTCGACACAAATTCCAGAAAGATGGGATGAGGTGAAATTCAAAATGGCTAATTCCAATAAATGGTAAAAATTGGCCAGACATCAAGTAGAAATTGAAAAAATACAGTAAATTGTTAATTGAAGTAGTAATTCTTCAAGCTAGAGGGCTTTCAAGCTACTAGAAATGGAAAAGGCCCATAAAATCAGTAAAAGGAAAGGTATGACCAGAAAAAGCTTAAACATCTGTTCAAAAATAGAATTTGAAGTACTTAACCAAACGTGGTGGAGTAAAATTGGAGTTGCGAGAGGAATTAACTTTACACTTTTACATTAGATCATTTGAATCAGCCATCCATTAATCACCTTCCCAATGGGATTTTAAGTAAAAAATTTCATTATCTAACTCAAATATAGTATTTTTATAATATGGATTTTTGTTTAAAATTCATAATTAATTGACTGAAAGGAGAAAAATACGAGTAATTTATCGTATATTTTAAAGAGAACAAGAGACTAAATAGTCTCATATTCTCGTTAAACTAAATAGTCTAAATAGTTTGTAAAGAGACTTACAAAATCCACACAATTTTCTATCAGGAATAATAAAAGCGTGGGGCACCCTAAATAAATTTTAAAAGGTAATAACTAATATTATTGACAATGCAATTTGATTATTAGATATTTTTTTATTTAAGATCTTGCGCTTTTATTATTCGTAATATAAAACTATAAATGAATTTTGTAAACGGAAGTATCTAATCCCTTGTTTCCTTTAAACTAAGTGCTAAACTATTTTATGAATTTTAAATAAAAGCTCATTTCATAAAAACTTTTTTTAAAGTTTTTATTTTCAACTTTCTCACGTTACCAATTAACTTATTCAGTTAAAGAATTTCTCAGCAATGAATAATTATTTGCTTACTTCCGACGTTCTGTTACGTACCCCCCCCCAACCCCGAAAAAAAAAAAGGTCAAATGGTTGACTGGTGAAGAAGATGATGACTGTTAGGTACTGTTTTACCTTAGGTTATTCGGTTTTGCCTCATCTCTGACACTTTCTAGTGTAGAGCCCACGTTAGGGAGGCAAACGTTAGGTGAGCAAAGAGGCACTGTATATTTGCATGTATTTCCGTTGTTCATCTGGAAGCAAAATATGTAGATTATGTGCTTAAACTAAATGTTACTAGATACGCTAATATACAGTGAGATAAAATGGTTGAATAATTCCGGTGATTTTGTCAAAAAATCAGAAATTTTGTTAAATTTTCATTAAAACTTCACTTAAGAGATTTTCTCAGTTCTTCTAAAGGCACAAATAATAAAATTCTGAGAGTTTCAGTTTATTTATTAAGCAAATGTATGTGCAGGAAATCGTTTTAAGATTCAATTTTGAAAAATTCAAATAAAATTTTGGAACAATCGCTTCGCCACATTGTATTGTTATCCATGTAGAATTTGACTTAATTCACAGCATGAGAGCACGAAGTAATATTTAAATTGTTTGTTTAATAGAAAGAAATAAAAGTAAATAAGAAAAGTAAATAAAGATGAAGTTAACGGTATGCAGGATTAACATAATGATGCACCAACAGTCCTTTTACACCTAAAGGCATAACATCAAAAGCTCAATCTAAGTTCATAAACTCTTGAAGACGTGTGAGCCGTCTGCTCACTTCTGCCCTCCGCTCTCGACCAGGTCTCAGCGCTGTCTGGGATGATTCTTACTGCGCTGGGTGATGCTATACTGATGACGTCATAATCCTGGTATTCTAATTCAGCATTGGACGTTGGTGACAAAGAATCTATAGTGAGAAGAAGTCAAGTGAGAAGAAGTCAAGCTTCGACCAAAGAATCTATAGTGAGAAGAAGTCAAGCTTCGACTGCACAGCAACGCCACGGAGAAAAACTGAGTCTAAAATGTGTCTTTTTTGACAACTTTACAGGCGTAAATTCAGGTTCCCTGAAATTCATTCACGCATGCGCGCTAGAGCCAGAGAGGTTGTCAACAACATCGTAGAAGTCGTCATAGCGCGCCATATTGAACGCTAAGCACGAGGATTTCAGCAATTTTGAACATTTGGAAATGGAAAAAAATAATGAATCACGCTCTAGTGATCCTGCGTGTGAAAGGTACGTAAAAATATTTAATTCTTATACCTTTTCATAGTAGAATTATTTTTTAATTACCAGAGTTATGTTCAAATCCATTCCATAACATGGGATGGTAATCAAATATCATGTAATGAACGATTATTAATTAAGTTGGCATTAAAAAAGTTAAAAGTTTCATTGGAACATTTTATTGAAAAATTATAATTCCTACTGTTAAAGAAATCAGAAGTATTTCGAAAAATCTCTATCAAAGCTTCTTACGCAAAATTAGTATATTTGTATATAATTGCGAGGATAAAATCAAGCAATCATGGATGATTTACTATGATTGCTAATGAAAATTATTTCAGTTCTTCATATCCGATCTTTCCTGCAGTTATATGTAATGTATATTGCAACTTCTTCTATTTTCGTTTAACCAGGTATCAATTTTTTAGTTCATGATATTTTCTAATTCTATACATTGAGCATTATTTATAATCAAAGAATCTTTATAATAAACTATTCACAGATATCATTTTTTTGCTACTAAGAACTGCAATATTATCCCAATTTTTAATTATTTTTTAAATTAATTTTTTAATAATTTTTCCAGTTTTAAAAATAAAATTATTAAAGTAAATTAGCTGCATAATTCTGGTGTCATGATATTCATTGGCTCTTTTTTATTTTATTTCAACCTTGCAACTTAAATGTATTCTGTAAATTAATTATTAAATATCCATATTTTATTTTTATATTCAATTTTTATATATTCTGTACTGATGTGATTTAAATCTTTATAATAATAATTCATTTAGGTTAAATGATCCTTCACCAAAGGCTTATGTGCGTTGTGTGGTGTGTAATGCCAATTCTTGGTATTTTCCTGAAAGAAAATTCTTTCGGTTTCCTAAAAATCCAGAGAGGTAAAAATTTAATTTTTATTTTAAGTTATTTAAAAATGCATGAAAATAAGTACAGTATGACAGATGAAGAAATTTTTTTAACTTTCTGTTATTTAAAAAAATTATTCCTTTTCAAATGAAAACGTTATATTCATTAACATACTTTGTGTGATATTCAATGTTGCCTTATCTGTTTAGCCTAATTATATATACAATAGTAATAAAATATTTATGTAAATATTACAAAATCGTAGAAGCATTAGTTGAATATATGCATCAGCTAAAAATGAATTTTTTCATAAGCAGAATGCTTAAAAATTTAACATTAGTTTGAGTAAAATGCATAAATATTAATTTTTTTGTACATAAATTAGTACTTAAATGTTATCTACATGTCAAATTTCTGGAAAAACTAAAATATGTATTTGTTTTGCACAGTAATAAGTTACATTTTAAATGAATGCTTAAAACTAGTGTTCCCTGTGTAAAGTAGGTGTAAATTTCATGTTGTTTTAACTTTTATAGATCAGCACAATGGCTTGAAGCATGTAGAATTTACTTGATTGGACGTGACAAGGAAATATTAAAGAAGCCACCTTCTCTTTTATATCGAAGTCGTCTTTGTTCCGCACATTTTGAAGACAATGCATATTCCACAACTAAGAAGCATTTTTTGCATTCGAGTGCTAAACCAACAAAATTTGGTGAAACAGGTATGCATTAATTTCAAGTTTATATATTTCAAAAATTTTTAAAAATTTAACCTCTTATATATTGTACTGATCAACAACTTACTATGTTATCTTAGAAAGAGAGTAGTCTGCTGTCTTTAAAAAGAGTGATAAATCTTTTTCTGAAGGATAATTTAGTTTAATCTCCCACAGAAATTTCATTTGTTTACATAAATAATATAACTTATTTATTATGAAAGGACTCTTCTGCTGTTTCTTACATAGTCAATTTTGGTATGAGAGAATGTAAAGTAACCCTTTTTTAAAATCCATTAAATTTTCCTTAGTAAATCCTTTATGGATATAGCAGAATGTTCTTAGAATATGATGTAGCAGAATATATTTACGCAAAGTATAATTTTAGGCTTTGAATCAGATTTACAAACTCAGGATAAATGAAATTAACGATAATTAAAAATAAAATTAAAACTTCGGCTAATCTTTGGAATATGGTAACTGGTAGTTTGGCGACATTTTGGTAAGGCGATAAAGTTTACTAGCTAGGACTTTAGCAGTGTAAATGGATAAAGTCAAGAGTGTACGCAATGCCATTTTTGTGCAATTCTGTGATGTTTTTTTAAGTCAAAATAGATCGACGTATACATGGATGATACCGTGTATGTGCAATTCTTAACGCTGCAAGCAGTGGGCGATTCTGCACTTTCTCCCAATTTCGCACCTAATCTTCGTGATGATTAAGCACTTTTGTTCCATAAAAGTTCTAGCATAAGCGTAATTCGGCTTGTTTGTAGGAAAATTGTTGGAAAAAAATGTTGAGTAGTTAAAAAAAAAAAAAAAAAAAAACATGCCTTTACTTTGTCAAAACAAAATGGCGTCCAAAAAAAAAAAAAAAAAACAACTAGCAGGGTTGGTCGCCAAAAAATCGCCAAGTTACCATAATCCGAAGATTAACCAAAACTTCTTTTCTTAAAACTAAATGTCAAACCGTGTTAAAGGTTAGTTAAATATTTATTTGTTTAGAGATGAAATATTCATAAAATAATTAATTGATAATGATTATATTATGAATTATTATGCATTAGTCTTGTTATATATATATAAATTTTCTTTTTCCTTCCTAGCTGATGAGCTGTCCAGAAACGACAGAGTTGTAAATGTTCATCAGCTGTCTATGAAGTTGTGCTCGAAATTGCAGCAGCATGCAATCAGTATCGATGATAATTCAAGTCCTTTGGCAGAAACAGATTCTGGCACTTCACAAACAGATTCTGGCTCTCTAGAACTTGGTTCACACCAGCACTCCATAGAACTAAATAATATCACCGAGACACCAAAAAGATTAAAATGCAACAAAAATTTAACACCAAAATCTTTAAAAATAAGGCAGTTAAGTCATAAGCTGGCATATTTAAAACGAAAACATTCAGCAAAAAGGAAAGCAAACAAAGCTGGAGTCGAAAAGGCACTCCAGCTGATTAGCTCATTAGTTAGTTCTGTAGTTTTCACACTTTTATAAAATCACAAATAAAAGCATCAAATGTGTCAAAATACGGACGAAGATGGTCACTGATGGATAAAAATTTGTGCCTTCAGATCTATCTTAGTAGTCCAAAATCATATAATACACTGAAGGCTTTTTTGCATTTGCCCAGCAAGCCTACATTATTGAAAGCTGTATCTGGTATAAAAATGGAACCTGGATTTTCAGTTGCTGTGCTCAATGCCATAAAATTAGTTGCTAGCAAACTGAAAATCCATGACAGGTATTGCATCTTATCCTTCGATGAAATCACTTTAAAGCAAAGCTTATCTTATGATAAGAAAAGTGATTACATTGTTGGATTTGAAAATTATGGTTCCTACACTGAACTAAAAATGTTTCCCGAATATGCAACTCATGGTCTTGTTTTTATGGTCCGTGGGCTGTGTAAAAAGTGGAAACAGGCTATTTTTTTTCTTCTCACACTACTCCAGGTTTTATGTTGTGTACTTTGGTCATGGAAGCCCTATCAAAATTATTTGATTGTGGTTTGATACCTGTGGCTGTTGTTTGTGATGGTGGTGCAAACAATGTAGTTTGTTACAAAAAATTTATGAAAGTCACAGAAGAAAGACCATATATTATATGTCAAGACAAAAAGGTATTCACACTTTTTGATGTGCCTCACCTTTTGAAGTGCTTGCGAAATAATTTTAGAAAGTATGATGTTAAATTTCAGGGTGGCAAAATTGCTAGTTGGAACCACATTGTATCTTTGTGGGAATTTGATCGTAAAATGCCTCACAGATGTGTTCCGAAATTAACAGACCGCCATGTAAATGTGGATTGCCTTAGTGCTATGAGTGTAAAATTAGCAGCTCAGGTCTTCAGTCATTCTGTGGCTTCAGGCCTGTGTTACCTTAGTGCACTAAATGGCTTACCCGCATCGGCTAGTCTTACAGCAGATTTCTGTTCAAACATAAATATTTTATTTGACAGTTTGAACAGTAGAACACTTAAGCACTCTAATCCTTTTCTTGCAGGAGTTACCAAGTCATCGATTCACTTAAAAACCTGGAAGGAAAAGATGGATTTCATCAAAGGCATTGAATTTCAAACAGAAAAAAAAATATCTTTCCCAAGTATATTTGGCTGGAAATTAACACTATCAGCAGTTCAGCAGTTAATTCCAGTTCTGTTGGAAGATGTACCATTTGTATTAATGTGTCGTTTCACCCAAGATGCCTTGGAAAATTTTTTCTCTGTTGTTAGACGCAGAGGTGGAAATAATGACCATCCAACTGCATATGATTTTCAACAGAGGATGAGAATACTAATGGCACAGAATATCATAAGCACAAGTAAGCTATCAAACTGTGAACCTGATAACGATACAGTTTTGATACCTACAGAGTTGCTGACAGTTATCGATAACACTGAGCCTGGAAATGGCAGTGATGTAAATGATATGGAAATTGACTTTGATGATCCCTTATTGGTAGCAAATGAAAATTCTGATACTAGTGCTTGTATTGCAAGTACATCATATGATGTATTTTCACAAAATTCAGCAGCTTATGTTGCTGGATATATTGCTGGAAGGGCATTGAAGCAATTTCCTTGCACTTTATGTAAGAATATTCTTCTTGTTGATAAATCTTTGGGTGAACACACTTACTTTTTGTATTTTAAAGAATTTGATGTAGTGAAAAATGGATTTGTGAGATGGGTGAAAAATTTGTTTGATAACCAAAAAGATGTGAAATCCAAAATTGAAACTAATTGATCATGAATGGCTTACATGCCATTATCATGCAGTAAAAATGTGGGAATATATTGTCAGTTCATATGCTCAGCTTATGATATATTATAAGCTGAAAAGTATAAATAACAGCTTGAAAAACAGACGTAGAGGAAAGAAAAAAATTATTAAATTACACTAAAAAGTCTTATTTGTATATATTATATGTATTATTTGTAAGAAAAATATATTAATGTAAAGGAGTATGTGTGAGAAGTTTTTGATTTTGTATTTTTGCTATATTACTATTTGTTGGATTTTAATGTTTTTGTAATGTAATGTAATTTGTTGAATTTTACAAAAGTTCATGTAATTTAATTCTCTCTCTCTCTGTATATATATGAATATATGAAATTTCTATTTATGTATATATATGAAATTTGGATTTATGTGTGTATCTTCAAATGTAACTTCAGTATCTAAATTGTCTGTAAGTACAGTGAAACCTCAGTTAACGAATATAGTTTGTTCCTAGAGGTCATCTGAAATCTTTGTAAACCAAACCTAATTCTCCTTTAGGAACTTCTGTAAAATATATTATTGATTCATTCCTTCGCCTCAGATGATTGCAGATTTTAAACTTTTGCATTGGTAACATTTGCACCAGTTTACAATTGAAAAAACCAGTGCAAATCATTAAATCTAAACTAGAAAGAAACTAGTTCAGTAGTAGAGAAATATACATGTATTAAAAAGAGTTGGTGATATAATTACAAGATAATGAGAAATGAAAAGGGAAGAAATATTGTTATTAATCTTTAAAATGAAATAGAAATAAATCTTGCTGATAGAAAAAAGGGTTACTTTTCCATTATACTCCCGCAAACTTAACAAATATCCTGAATTAATAGAAAATTACGAATTTAAAAAAAAAAAAAATGTATGTAAGAATTGCATTATATATAATTTTTTAACATTATTTTACAAGGTAAATCGTCAGAAAAATTTAAAATAATAAACATTTATGTAATTTTTCTGTAGCAGTGAAAATATAAGTACCTACATAATAAGGACGTTTGGCTAAATGAGTAAAAAAACTCAGTAAAATAAGGATTAAAAAAATAATCAGTGTTTTTGTTGTTAAATTTCAAAGAAAAAAAAAATTTGTGACACTGTTCAAAGCATGTTTTGTCTTTTTGGTACATGCATAGACTCACATTCCATGTTTCACACATGTATCTTCTATGAGGTTTCTTCCTTGTGCTACAAAGTATACACTGCCTGGATCTAAATTTCACTGGTATATGTCCAGTGTTATTTAGTTTCTTTTCATCAGATGACGTTTGTGGTTTTTTATGTTAATGGGGAGGGCTTGGTCTTTTTGGCTTTGGTACGGATCATTCGTTTCCCATTCATACTTATTTTATTCATATTTCATCCCAAAATATTCAGAAAATATTTTTAATTTAAATAAAACTTTAAGCGATTTCAATTTTTATTATAGCAAAGTATATTTACATTAAATTTAAACCACAGGAAATAATTTATAAAATCACAATACTAGCTTGGGGAGCAAGTGTGTTGAGGTCAGAGAAAACTCTCTGGTAAAAGATCAGTAATAAATCAATTTTCATTCAAAAATTTCGGAAAGAAGAAAAAAAAAAATTCCAAAATTGGTGGTTTCAGGGCACGACCACCGCGCGTCAAAGGATTTAGGCATTATATAGAAACAGAAAAATCCTTAACTGTCAACTTCTTCAAAATCTCTGGTAATAATTTCTTCTAGATTGAATTCATTGTTTCATTAGTTATGTATTACAAGGCTTTGTCCATGAAAATTGAATAATAGAGAATATTAAAACTGCTCATTTTTGTTAGAAGTGACCTCAAAACATGTAGGAAATTCATTTATTGATAGCTTGTATG